ACAGGCAGAAGCTGGACCAGGCGTGGATGAAGACACGGAGGCTGGGCCTGGCGAGGCTGAAGGCTCTGATGAGGCTGGGCCTGGCGAGGCTGAAGGCTCTGATGAGGCTGGGCCTGGCGAGGCTGAAGGCTCTGATGAGGCTGGGCCTGGCGAGGCTGAAGGCTCTGATGAGGCTGGGCCAGACGAGGCTGAAGACACGGAGGCTGGGCCAGACGAGGCCGAAGGCTCTGATGGAGCTGGACCAGACGAGGCTGAAGGCTCTGATGGAGCTGGACCAGGCGAAGCACAGGCTGAAGCCGGACCAGGCGAGGACGAAGACGAAGACTCGGATGAAGCCGGACCAGGCGAGGACGAAGACTCGGATGAAGCCGGACCAGGCGACGACGAGGCGGCCGCGGGTGGCGGCTGGACAGGCTCCTCAGGCCCTCCAGCGGAGACAGGAGGCTGAACGGGCCCCTCGGACCCTCCAGCCGACGAGGCATGAGGCTGGTGTGGTTCTCCGGAACCACCAGCTGACGAGGAGGGCTGCTGGACGGGCTCCTCGGGCCCCCCAGCTGAAACAGGAGACAAAGGCCGGAGCGGTCCCTCGGACCCTCCAGCGGAGACACGAGACGAAGGCTGGACGGGCCCCTTGGACCCTCCAGCAGAAGCCATCACAAAGCCAGCAGGCATGGAGTCCACTAGCAGACATGAAGGAAATGGGTGCTGTGCTGAGCACTGGCCCTGCTCAGACAGCACTGACACGGGGCACTTCCCAGGTGGCTGCTTAAACTCCAGGGGTCCAGCATCAGCTGAGGACTGGGACCTAGCCTCTGGGGAAGCCCTGGAGCGGCAAACAGTGCCAATGGCGGCTGACCCATGAAAAGCACCTTGAGTAGGACTTAGGCTTTCTCCCTGCATGGAGTGAACGAGTGGAACCGGTAATGCTGGAGCAAGAGCTACTGGGGCCTGCGCTACAGGCGGCACTGGAGCTACTGGGGCCTGGGCTGAGGGTGGCTGCGGGGGAGCTAACTGGGCTGAGGGTGGCTGCGGGGGAGCTAACTGGGCTGAGGGTGGCTGCGGGGGAGCTAACTGGGCTGAGGGTGGCTGCGGGGGAGCTAACTGGGCTGAGAGTGGCTGCTGAGCAGGCGACACTGGGAGCTGAGCTGCTGGAGACACAGGTGACACTGGTGTACTGGGGTGAAGGCAACGAGGATGCAGTCCCTCTCTTAAGGGAGGATGGAATGATTTAGTGATAAAGCTTGATGGGAACAGATGCTGATGCTGAGAATACCAGGCAGCGAGGGCTTCCAGGAGGGTAGCTGACTCTACCTTGCCTGGACCGCCCATGCCAAACAGTTCGAAGCAAATCCTGGCTCTCAGCGCTGTTATTAATTGTTTTAATCCGTTAATGTCCAAAAAACCAGCTGTGCAGAGGGTGGAAGACAAAAAGTTGTCGAAAAAGACCACCTGAAGGAGTCTCTTGGGGGTGTCCTCAGCGTGGATTACCTCCCGGCAGTAATTCCACAACTGCGCGAGATACTGAGACCGTGAGTCCGCAGGATCCATTTGATGGTTGCGTCATTCTGTCATGGTTGGCTGTGTGGCAGGCGTGCAAGCAGGAGTGGTGGATCCAAAATGCAGGACTCAGACACAGAAGTTCAACTTAAAGCGCAGCTTTATTGCTGGAAACCCTCTTACTAACTAAAGGCATCAAAAGACAAACAAAAACGCTGGTGGACTAAAACACTGAAGCAGAAAACACTGAACTGGAAACAAAACACTGGTAACACGGAGGCAAAACACACACAGCTTGTTGCGGGTACAACGCAACACTGACTCAGAGAAACACAGGGACTAAATACACTGGGAAGTAACGAGGAGAATGAGACACAGAAGGAGAGCACAGCTGGGGGAAATTAGAACTGACGAGACAAGCAAAGCAGGACACATTCACATAAGACACGGACCTTCAAAGTAAAACAGGAAGGATCACACAGAGACGCGAACTTGACACAGTGGAGACAGCAACTAAGAAACACAGAGACATAAACCATAAGGCAGAGGACTCTAAGAACCGAGAGACACAGAGGGGAAATCAAACATGCAGACACAGACTTACACAGAACAGAGGGGACATAGAGAAACATGAAGGGCAAGGGATCGAAACTAGAAACTCACACCAAGTACAATAATACAAAAATCACAAAGAACTAAAACGCTGGGTCAGGAGACCCAGGACCCTGACAATTTGGGATTTTCTAAGTGATTATTATTGATCAATGAATCATTCTCAATTATTTGTTTTTGCTTTTATTGGCATATATACACAGGCAAATAGTTTTAAGTGCTTAAAAGTAACTATCAAGCGAAAGCAAAAGTAAAAAGGGGAAAAAAAAGATAAACAAAGTGCAAAGCATGAAGAGCGAAGCATGAAGAGCCCAGCAACTATGGTCTCAGACCTCTTATTGTAACAACATGACAATTGACAACAACTGTAATAGAAATCCATGTGCAAAAGAGTTAAAATAGGAATGTCATCCTTTGGTGGTAGACATTAATATTGCTGCACAAATGTCTATACTTGCAGTAGATGGCATTTGACAAACTGGTATTGTGTTGTGCTCCTTGATGAAAATACACTGCATGTCCTCTAATGCTCTCAGGTCCAAGACTTATTCATGATTCCTAAAAGTAGAATGACAGGTAGAGCCTTTAATAACAAAGTTATTAAATCCGCCCATGAAATTTAGCCCAGTTTAGTTTCGTTTTTGTCAAAATTTCCCCAAGTTCTTTTTAAACTGAGGGAAACAGCATTTCTAAACATACTAGTTTTCTTTAGAATCATAAATGACTTCTATTTGCACACATTAACTGACAGAATTTCTTGAGAACTATCAAGAAATTACAAAGTGCAAAATAGTACAGATCAAACCTGGCAGACTTTGGAAGCGAAAGATTTCAGAGACTTTGGAAAGAAAACTAGTAAGAGATGTGTCTAAAGACCCCAGAACAAGTGCCAAGACACTACTGAATAACTTAGCCAAGTGAGGTAGTCTCAAAGAAGATGATCACTAGACCCTTGCACAGCTATGGACTGCGAGTTTGTAGACCAAGAAAAATTCCACTTCTGCAGATGAGACACCTTCAAGCCAGACTGAAGTATGCTAAAGACAACCTAGAGAAAGATTGTACAAACTGAACTTTGGTCAGATGAAAAAAAAAAACTAGAACTCTTTGGCTACAGAGATGCTGCTTATGTTTGGAGAAAGAAGGGAGAGATGCACAACCCAAACACTGTCCCAACAGTGAAACACGGTGGGAGGAGTCCAGTGGGTGGAAGGAATCATAAAGAAAGAAAGACGTGAAGAATTGAAAGAAAATGTCAATCAGTCCACAATAAAAAAAACTGAGTCTGGGTCATCACTTTGTCTTCCAACACAACAACAACCCATGCATACGTCGATGGAAGAAGTGCCTCCAGAAAACCAAAAAGAATGTAACTCACTAGCCTGCACAAAGCCCTGACCTGCATCCCATTAAAAATCTGTGAGGTGAACTAAAGACCAAGCACCATGCCAGATCACCAAACCCAGAGGACCTTCAGAGATTCATCAGCGAAGTGTGAGCTGGGATTGCTGAGGAGACGTGTGTGAGACTTATCCAGCAACAAGGATACATAACTGACACTTAGCATCAGGAGGCCTAATGATTTTTGACCCTGGTAGTTTTTGATTTTTGTAAACGAATTTTGTCTCTGTGCAAAGTAAAAAACATATAAGCATCTAAAATAAAACTATGAAAATTTCATTTTTATTTTATTTCATTCAGCCTAAAAATGATTTTTTCTTCTGCATCCAGTAGAAAAGAAGGTAACCCTTCACCATCTCTTAAGTTGTTGGGAGACTTCCCATGATGCACTGAGTGTTTATCCTCCACTCCTCTCTTTTCCTTCCGTGTTCCTTCCTCTTGTCTTTCAGCTATTTGTCTGTCCCTTCCTGAGCATGGTACTTGAGGTCTTGTCCTGCTGAAAAGGAGTTCTTCCTGCTCACTATTGTGCTATACCACATTACATGTAAATAGATGTACTTTCTTTTCATAACTTGGGATGTTCCTAACTTTCATGTAGTACTGTAAATATAAACTTAGGATAAATAAATGACTAAAATGTTGGATGTCTCAAATAACCTTAAAAACACTCTATATTTTCCAGCTAGTGGCAAGGCGATATGCCACAGTCACCTTTGTCTCTAGCCCTGCACTTTTTAATTCACACGAATCTTGTTTCTCACCTAGCGCCTAGGACCCCTTCAGATGTAAACACAGCTCCAAGCTGCCCAGCTCCTAATCCTCACAGCTGCTAACTACTGTGCAGGCCCTGCAGCCTTGAACTGTTCCCATTATCTCAACATATTTTAATGTTCTTTGAATTTCAGCTCCTTGACTGACTCATTTTTAAAAGGGTGTCATTTATTCTCTTATTTCAGTTTTGATTTGGTGAATTATTTGTTGGAGGGCTTTCAAATCTCACTCTGGAGTAGTGACAGGGTCAGTGAAATTTATTGCATTTCAGTACTCTCCCAAATGTCTCTTGTCCATGGAGCCTTGGCATATTTTGTTTCTATCTTATAGTTTTGCAGCTGTTATAGATTACATTTGTTTTTTTCAGCATGATTCAATTTTTAGTATTTGTTGCATGATATGAAAATATTTTTTTTCTCAAGACAGCCAAGTTAATACCTTCATGAAGGAATCACACAAATATCACTTAGTTATTCAAAACATACAAGGATAACTCCACATGAGGTTTTGGTACACACATGCACTCACACACACACACACACACGCATGCTCTAAAATTTAAAGCAAGCCCATTGTTGTTTTATGCAAAGTGTCTGAAGCTGGATAGGTCGCACAGAGACATATGCAAATCAGCCAGAGTCATCAGCAGGGTGTACTGCTGAGGTGAATGCTTTCCCACTTAGGAAAATCCTGATGAGCAGCAGTAAGAATTACAAAACTTCTTATTCCAACATTCACTTGCTTCCTTTTGAATACTTAGAGAGTGGAGGAGACAGCAACTGGAGCAGCACAGGCTTTTAACTCAAGGTGAGTCACTACTCCAACACCTCTGTTCATCAATGACATTTTAATATCTTTATTTCATTTTAAACGCACGAGTTGAGTTTTAAGAAGCGTTCCTGTGCCGCGTGGTTACGCCATATGGAGATGAGTGTTGTATGGGGCTATTGGCCTTGCTTATGAATATTACAAGTAGGGATCACACAGGAGTGTGTAAAGTTTGTGCGGTGGTGTGGAGGGGAGGGCGCATTAGAATAAACTCAAGATCATTTTCCTGGGTGGCCTGAGTGCTTCATTGTCCTGGTAAAGTTACAATCCTGTAGGAAAATCAGCTATATTTATCATTACAGATATTAAGATGAGCGCAGACACGGCAGAGCACACGGAGGCTCCAGGTGAACAGACGGGTAAGGATATTTTACCTTCTTCATGGTGCACGGATGGAGTTTGGAGTCTAGAAAGCTGTAGTTTTGGCCACTGCAGCTATCTTTGGGGAAAGATAGTGGAAAAGTTACAGGTTTATTTAATCTAATGTTAACATGGCACCAACAGCTTATTAAAATCTCTTTAAATGAAAATATTCTGAAATTTTAGGTACTTTTTATAAAAAGGTGAGGATCTTTATGTGTGACTTTAAGGTCACACATTAAAAGGCCAGATTGAAAACATAGATGGGTCTATGTTTCATCGTATTCAATAATATGCGGTGCAGAAATGTTTTCTGCTTTTAAAACAAAAAAAATGTCATTCATGCCTCATGCATGTAAAACATTATAAAAGCAACATGCACCTGTCTGGAAAAGGTGTATTTGTGTGGGGAAAATGTGACAGTTGGTTTCGCTTGAGGATGCCCAGAGGCTGAGGATGCCAAGCAGCCACGAAACAAAACCAGGAACCAGCAGCAGCAGAAAATGTGGAACTTTTACTCAGACAATAGCTGTGCGAGAGAAGTGAACAGCTCAGTTTCGTGGAAGTGACAAATGTCTGTACTTTTGCCAACATATGGTCAGGTGCACAGCTGCGTTTGTTTTCCCCACAGAAGATATTTTGATGCAGCTAATCATTTCATTAGTCATGTGATGATCTATTTTAAATGGATGAGTCACCAAATTAGTGACTACACATTGGTGTATCTGCAGATATTTCTATTTGTCTGGATGTTTCGAGTGGATTTTAGCCTCCACTCAAGCGCTCAGAAACTGAGTGTTTTAAGAGGTGCTTCTTCCCAACAAACACAAAAATGGGGACATTTTCTCTGGAAATAAATTGCTGTTGACGGTTTTGACATTGTTTTCAGTGTTGTGGGCAAACAGAAGCCCCATTGAGGTGGAGTGCAGATAGCAATCTCAGAGACAAACCTAAACAAATCAAAAGTATCTGCACGCTAACAGAGATACAACTAGATTTTCTTTTTTTTCCTATGTGAACTTCATAGTCAGGAGAATCAGGATGGGACAAAGTTGCCCTTTCTTAAAGGGCAGAATCCACCACAGACATGTTTGGACTATTGGATGGAAATGCTCTATTTACATTAGGCGCGGGAACACAAGTTTGAGTACAGCTTTCAAGAGGCATCATATACAGCACCTTCTTGCATGCTATGAATTTTCACACAGCTGGACTTCAAACAGACTTCCTACTTGAGAGATGAGATGTTAAAGACTGTTTAAAGCATGATATGGGAATGTGTGCTCTTGTATACAGCTTCGCCTGGCAATGTCTAGAAAAGTTCATCTGTATGTGAAAACTGCTCGCTTTGAGATAAACTAGAAAGCAAAAAAGGCAGAATATGAAGTGTTCTTATCTCAGGAGGATCTGCACCTGCACCTGCTCACTTACTGCAAACCTGTTGCTAAGAAATAATGTTTACCTTCACGCTGGATGCATTCCTTATGTTCAGAGGCGACTTTTATTTTCAGTGCAGGCCTGTGACAGCGAATGCTGTTGCCTGTATCAGATCCAAGTGTGATTAGACAATAGAAGATTGCGGTGAAAGGACAATAACCTCCTCTTTCATGTTTGTACTATTAAACAGGAAATAAAACATTGGTGTTTTTCCCCCCACTTTTCCAATTTAATTAAGCCCATGCTCACTTCATTTAAACTGGGTGCCTCACAGACTTGCAGGATCAGAGAGAGGAATCAGTGGGAGGATGCAGTTTTACAACCACACTCCTCACTGACACAGTTCCAGTAAGGAGTGAACATTATTGCCATTTTCCTTTGTTTATCTTTCTTTAAAACAAAGTCTTCCAGATGTCTGAAATGCTGCTCGTTTTTAACCTTAAATGTCACCCAGTTTCACTGAAAAGCAGCAAGCAAATATAGTTTTCCTGCAAATATCTGATAAAGTATTGACTTTAACAATTTTTTCAGCATCTTTAACTTTAAAAGGACAGCTACTGTACATAATCTATATCTTGCAATAACATTCTAGACTATGAAACACAGTGTGCCAGGCATTTTTTTAATGCTAATTTATTGTTAGTTAAAAAATTCTGTACATAGCAGCAACATTTAACACTTGTGTTTTAGCCAGTTTCATTTAAACTGCAGTTGTTCTATGCAGAGAAACAGGCTCATGGGAAACACAGGACTCAGACTTGTTGAAGGACTATTTGGTAACTAGATAAGATTAATAAAGAGAGGAGCCACGAAAACCATAAGAAGAGAGTTGAAGAAATTCTAAGGAAAATGAAAACAGAAAAGCAAAAACGCTACAAGAGCCAGCTTTTACATGGAGTTTACATGGAGCTTGGGTGAGGAGCAAAGGGGCAGGGCAAGGTGAAAAACACTGAAGCTTGACGAATATTTGACCAGGTGTGCCAGGAGGGGGAATTGTGTTTACAAAAATGTATATAAGTCACAGGAATATAAATAATGTGATCTTATGCTCTTTGGTCTATAATTGTAAAGGGTTTTTTCATGGGCATGGAGTGTGATTATTTGTTTTTAAATTTATTTAGTTTCAATTTAAAAACATTTTTTAAATTAAGTTTTTTAATTAAGTAGGTAAAGGTGTATTGCATGTGGGCCCATGTGAAGCCACACTTGTCAAAGCAGTTCTAAAAAAAAAAAAAGGTATATTTGGACTGCAAAAGAAAAAAAGAAAAAATAAGGCACATGTGCATCATTAAAAGGCCTTGAAGCACAAGCCACAGAAGTAATGGATGATCACAGGATCCTTTCCACTGTGAAGAAAAACTGTCAGAACTTCCATCCAGTGACACAACGAATCTAAAATGCCAGAGCATCTCTGAAACAGCACTATTGGACAGATGAAAGTACAATCAACATATATCCAAAACATTCAAAATGTGCTTTGCTAAAAAGGTAAAATAATCGTGTGGGTGTATCCAAACATATATGGACCTAACTATATCTCATTAACTATATCTCTCAAATAAGTTAACATGTTCAAAAAGGAGCAGGAAAAGGTTTATTTAATTGCTGTCCTTTCCAACTGTTTGGTAACTAATAATTATAACTTGTCTTTCCTGTTTATGCCCAATGCTATCATAACTCCTTCCCTGCAATTTGCTGACCAGAGCTCCATATTTAGGCTTTTTTGATGCCATGATTTTACAGGGCTTCATTATGGAGACAGTGCAGGTGGAGCAAATTAGTTTGCTGATAGGAAAACAGGGAAAATCAGAGTGACTGATTATTGTTAGAACACTTTGTCCATGCTTCACATGTGAACTTGTGACTATAAGCAGATTTTTAGGTCATTTGGAGAGTTAGGCAACAGCTGATGATACTCAAATATGTATGCTTTTCTTATCTGAAAGACCAAAAATCAACAATGAACACATTCATTAACTGTCAGATATTTAAAATACAACAATAGTTTGTTTCTGTCAACATATTGCCACAAATACTCACCAAAGCATCATGATTTGTGCTATTTGTGCATAAAAATAGTCCCCAAAAGGTGCACTGTGTACTTGTGTTTGAGTAACAGCGCCTGTTTTAGAATATGAAACTGTGAACATGTCACTTATTTTTAAAGCCTTCTCTTCATTTGGGCCAGAGCCAGGGTAGAGAAGTATTTTCAGATGAGCTAACACATCACTGCTTCTGGACCAGCAGATTATTCATAGTGTTAAGAATGTAAGGAGGGGGAGGTGGGAAACCTCTCTCTATATATAATATATCAAATATTTAAATGAGTAGAGTTTATTTTGTCCCATGTGCTCCCTGTGAAGTTTGTAATATCTTAGCTGGATTCTGTTCATTGTTTAAGGACTAACAGATGTAACAGATGAAACTTTTTTTCTTCTTTTAGTGTGCGTGACTTTTTGTGTCAATGCACGGTTTGCAAACATCGAGTATCTATGTGTGTGCGTAGACACAGGCTTCCTGCGCTCACAGCTGATTTGCATGTCTTGGTCATTTCCATACTGGAACCTAGGCTGTGAAGCTGGCTGTGCCATGGGGGAGGAGGTCTGGTTGGGAGTAGGTGACATAGTGATGGTGGTGAGGAGTTATGGGTGTATTTGCATTGTGTGTCTCCAGCAGCTCACTGCCTCTCTTTTCCCCAGTGCGCGCACACACGCAGTGCAGAGGGATAAATTTGACATTCAAATGATGTGAATTTATCCAGCACACCTCTGTGCTCTCCTCCCCTGTGAGATCGCTCTCTGTCCATTTAACATACGTTTAAAAGTGAGTTTTCTTGAAAAGACTTCAGACTTCTGAGCATCTGTGTGAAGAGGGGGCATCTAGATACTTAAACACCATTTAAACCATTTAAATATGGGATAAAATAATGAATATTAAGCAAAAGATTAAAAATAAAAAATCTAAATTAGTTTTCTTTCAATATCATTTAACAAGGTGCCAATTTTATTATCATTAAGTTGGTTGTTTAGTTTAGAAAACCTTAGAAATACAATAAAAACAGTTAAATGCGTACATACATGCTACCAAACTGATTCTTTCAAGTTGTATTGTCTGACTTATGATGTCTTCACACTTGCACTGAAGCCCTAAAGTTTCTTGTGAGAACATAAATGTGTGAGGTAGCGGCGTGTACTTTAAACAGTCTTTAATATTCTCACCAGCGTGAGAACATAGCAAGCAGTTGTCCTGTGAGTGTGCAGCAGGTGAGTGAGCGCCACGGTTCCTTCCTGCTGCTCTACCCAGGAACAGGTCTGAAGTGGATGTCACGTCGTGCTGTGTGTCACACGTGAGGAAGGGCAACTGCAGACAATGTCCTGACATTTTTCTTCAACATCTTAAAGTCAAGAAAGTCAAACCTCAAAAGTGATATTTTCTTCAGCAGCAAATTCTCACTTTATAAAAACCTGAAATATCTGATGTTGTTGCATCATAAAAAGCTAACCCTACAGCCTCATACCGATACATTTAACCTAACTCCAAATCTGCTTTTGCTGCATGCAGTACGACTGCCACAGAAACTCCTTTATTTAACAGCATTATTTCACTTTAATTTACAACAAAAGTTTGTCACAAATCAAAGTTTGATTAAGTCTGAATTATTCATTTTTTTCTGTTTTGACTTTCAGAGCGAAACGGAATCGACTTCAGTCGTCAGGTGAGTAGGAGCGCTCACGATATCACTCCCTGTGCTGAAATTTCCACGAACAAGCTCTCTGTTATCAGCAGCATGACTTGTATTGCTTTAAATACAGTAACGGCTTTAAACTACGATGTGTGTGTGAAGCTCACTGGTGCCTTTTAAGGACAAACATGGATCAGATTCACATTATTGACATGCACACATTTACTCAAACAACACATACATATGCTAAACAAATAACTGAAGAGCGCCTGTAACGTCTGACTGAGAGTAGCAGGGAGTGGATAACAAGCATCAAGAGGAAGCAAAGATTAAACTCAATCTCCAGGATCATGATATTGTTATTATTATTACTATACTGCTTTGGATGATTAAGTATTTTCTAATATTTTCATATTAACAGCTGCTCTCTGCAGCACCACAGTCCAGCTTGACATTGTAGGTTTTTAGCATTTTGGGACATATCTTCAGTGGTGAAAAAATAACATTTGCTGTGCTGTTATTGACTTTGTTCCCAAACTCTGTGGTTTGGGAAAAGCAACACTACTTACAGACCCAAGATACAGAGCCAAAAGTCAATAATTTCCCACATTACTGATTCCCAGACTGTTGTCGTCACTTTTTGGAACAAAAGCTGACTGACCTGAGCTTTAGGAGTAGACAGAAGAAATAAAAAATGATTGGTGATTGTTAGTTATTTGAAAATTTCCCTTTTGCTTATTCTTTTAGCAAATGTCACTCAAATGAGTAAATGGTAGATTTAGACATAGATATAGACAGTTTTGGTCTTAAACAAGTTTGCTGATGATAGGAAAACTGTATAACTTTCTGTAACCTTTGACACTCTAAATAACAAGGCTCATTTGCAAAATAAATATCCTACAGGCATGGGAACGGTGCTGAACTGACGAACTTTTTGACAGTTAACATCCTCAGGAAAATCTGCCTGCTCGCCAATGTGAATATTACTGTAATCTCTTTTGAAACAGTCTGCGGCTGTTTGGATACTTCTCCAAACGTTCTCTCTGGTAGAGGAAAACAGGTCTTTCAGTTCTCGAGCTTTCAGGAAGTGCCATCGCTCTCAGGGGTTAGTTAGTGGGGGGTGTGGGGGAGGGGATATTTGCATACTGACTTACCCAAAAGCAGGCAGAGAGAGTCTATCGTTCTTTGTATCGTGTTTAGTTACCAAACTGGTCTTGGCAAAGGTTCACAGGTTTTCTGTTTATGTGGTCTGTCTCTACACCAGTGGTTGCTAAACTTTTTCTAGCAAGGCTTCTTTTTGATTGAAATTATTCACAAACCCAACTTACGTGTTTTTGTTGGCCAGAAACAATTAAATAAAGAATTTCAATTCCGTTAAAATGAGATTAGATGTCAGATTCACTTATGTTCACTCCCATGGTTCCACATGCCTGGTGGCTCTGTGCCACAGGGGTCTCACACAGCTGTATGAGGAACGGTTTTTAATATCCTCATCAGAAGTTAATAGTTCATTGTGTTGTTTGGCTTTGTTTTCCACGTCTTAGATAAAAACAGAGGACATTCATGACTCACCTCATTCAGGCTCCACCGTAAAGACATGCCACCTGACACAGAGCTCTCCAGTGCACGGAGGTCAGCTGACTGGGGTAAGATATAGACTCAGATTTAAAAATGGGAGTGTATTTTATTTTCTTATAGGGCGTACTATAGAGTAACTCTCAGGGAATCAGTGGCATACTCTTATATTAATTTGATTGTTATTGCAGATGCATTCATTTGGAAACAGCTCTGTATTGAGAGTGCAGGAACTTTACTTACCTAGAAAACAACATGTTAACTAACATTATTTTCTGCTTTTACCTTTATTTCATATATTGGATATTTATAAACTAATGAAACCAAAGTGCTATTACAGATTAAACAACCCAACACTGATTGATTAGTACCATCTCAACCAGCTACAGAGGAGAATTGTACTTACATAGTTATGTATCCATTATGGTAACGCAATCTCTGTTTCTAAATGATGTGTAGAGTTTTACTATAAATACAAAAATCTTCAGCTTTAACAGAAACCTTAGAGCGGAGGAAAACTTTAAGAAATGCTAAAATCATTGTGCTCTTAGGTGATTAACTGACAGAAAAATATGTTTTTGTCTTAATACTTCAAATTCCTACTTTTGCATGTATAATTTTAACGATTTTGTATAATTTTTTAAAAAAAAATTTAATTTGTGAACTTTTTGACCAATATTTTGCATTTTAGAAATCTGTAGTCATTATCAAAGTACTTCAGCACATTTTATTGCTTTGGTAATTAGCATTATTCTTTAAATTGTGTTTTTGCTTTTTGTAAGGTAAGTGATAAAATAAGAAATCAAATGCAGTTTTTTTACTACTTCATCTCGTGTTTTATTTTAACACAATCATCAGGAAAAAGTAGCAACAAAAATCTAAATATAAAGTACAAGTAAATTAAAGTTAATTGACTTATTAATTTACTTCCATCCATCCATTCGCTTCCGCTTATCCTTTTCAGGGTCGCGGAGGGCGCTGGAGCCTATCCCAGCTGTCATAGGGCGAGAGGCAGGGTACACCCTGGACAGGTCGCCAGTCTGTCGCAGGGCTAACACATAGGGACAGACAACCATTCGCACTCACATTCACTCGCACATTCACACCTAGTGGCAATTTGGATTATCCAATTAACCTATCCCCACAAGTTGCACTTCTCACTCATTTTTCTTGTGGTGCTTTCTGCTCCAGGAGCTCACATCTCTCCACCCCATGCAGCAGCTGGTTCTGATGCCTCCTTCTCACCTGCCATCTCCCTCCCCCTTCCTGCTCTCCCAGAGTTCCTCCAGTCACCAAGGTGAGGTATCATAAAACATCCAGTCAGATCACAGCTCTGGGAATAGTTAAGACCAGTGCTTTCCTTTCAGGGGTTAAAGGCACCATTACATATTAGAACAGACATTTAATAGACAGCAACTTTGCACACCACATCTACACATCAGCTGGTTAGCTTACCACAAAACAACCTCTTAACGTGTTATAGCTTGTTTTATAGCTTGCTATCAAGCTTGTATAAAAACAGAAGCATAAAACCAAGCCTGCAGGAGAATTTCTTTCGTACCCAGGCAAAGTAAGTTAAACAAATGTCTTAAAGGAATAGTCAAACATTTAAAAAAAATAGGCTTGTTTTTTCTTTAAAATTGTTCAACAGCAAAACACTCTTGCTAGCAAACATCATGTGCATTTTAGCTGACTTGTAAGCTTATCCAAAATCTAACAGATGGCTGAAACCAAGAACAGTTTACCTACTTGGCCTTATGTGGACACCTTAGGCTATGTCAAATATTTAAATATAAACACACAGTCACAAACAGTAATATTATTATTCTGTGCTGTTTTTCTTTGCAGCCCTTCTGCAGCAGAACCTGCTATCTCTTCCTAGCCAGAGCCCAACTGGTCTTCTTCAGCATCAGCCTGGTCTGGCTCTGACTCCACAGGTAAGTCCAGAACACTTCCAAGTGTGCTGCACCAGAGGCAGACAATAAGACTACAGGTGTAAAACTGCTTTATTTCTGTGGAAGCACATTTGACAAACAAATGAATTGTGGTTAAGCTTTGGCTAATTTTAGATAACGGACAACTTTGTTGAGGTTTGGGAGACATCGAAGTCATAATACATTTAAAAAAAAAAAGTTTACATCATCAAATCTGAAAAATGTTTCCACCTCACCTCCTCGGATTTAGCTGATTTTTATTGTTTAGTAACGTCGATCTGTTGATTGAAGGCATGCAAAATTTTACAATGCCTTCAAAGTTAGGTCCGAAAAATAGAATTTTCCAACAAAGTTCCAAGTCAGAATTTTCATCTGCAACTTGGAGTCCCAACTTGGAAAGTTGTAGCAGCCTCACTAATCTCACATTAATGGTCCAAGATGGTGGCGGTGAATGTAAACATAATAAAACTGCAAAACTTGTAATCTGTCCTTCCTTTGTTGTATATTTGTAACTTGCAAAAAAAAAAACCATATAAAGAGTGCTGACCAGGATCTGCACATGAACATGGGGCAGCATTGTGTTTAAGCACCAATAAAAAAAACTACTAGTGCTACATAAATTGCTTCAGCTTACTTAGCTGAGTTTAAATATGTCAAATTAATTTATATAGCCATTTTCACAGATGAAATTCGTAAAGTGCGTCACAGTAAAACACAAGAAATAAAAGTATAACATAACTTTACTACTGGAACAACTCAGGAATTACGTCACTCCCACCTCCAACATCCGGTTTCCGAGGTATCTGGAATGTGGAAAAAATAATAAATTAAAAAATTAAAACAATGGTATTCTCCTTTAACACACGCTACCCACTCTCAAGCTATGTCTTCAAAGCTTCAAAGGAAAAAAAACATCTACTTATGACTCTTTGTTTTTTTTACTTGAGATATTTATTGAAAAGTAATCATTTCAATCTATGAAAATCTTCCATTTCCTCCTGCGTGCGCCAGCGCATCACAAATTTCTCCAGCATCTAAACATGTTTGATCCAAGCTGTCATAAAGCAAATGTGAACACCGGTGATGTTTCTCTATTTCACAACCTTAAGTTAGATTTGCATATGTTAAATTAAGGCTATATTAGACATTTACATTGATGCAGAAGGAATCACAGCTGGAAAATGAGCCTTTTATCAATATGTAGGTAAAAAGGAGACCTTTCATGTGATATGATCAATTGTTTTGACCAGCCACCTATCAAACAACATGATGACATTTTAAGGATTCATGCCATGAAGCTCCCGGCGCACAGTTTTTGTGCTGATGTTAATGCCAGAGGATGTTCGGAGCTCTGCAGTTACTGAATCAGCAGAGCGTTGGTGACCCAGTGACCCTGCTCTGTAACTTTACGTAGTCGCCACTTGACGGCTGACTTCTGAACGTTTCCACTTTGTAATAGTGCCACTTACAGTTTATCGCAGAATATCTAAGTGGGAGGAAATTTCACAAACTGACTTGTTCCACTGGTGGCATCCTCTTACAGCACCATGATCGAATTCAGTATGCTCTTTAGAACAATACATTATTTCACTATTGAGCTTATTTTGTGTTGTCTTTACCTAACCTTGTATAATCTTCAGGGATAGTGTTGCTTTTAAATTGGGAGAAAAATGAGTCAGTGAATTCACAGCAAGCCAAGTCAAATGTTCTGCATTTTGCACACTCTGTCTAAGGAATCATCCTTAATTTGACCAGTATTTCCAGTAGAGAGGAGACTCTAAATAGTCAGAAATTTGTATACGGGCTTCACATCTTAACCTAAAACAGAGCAAACTAATAATGCACTAAGATACACTGCCAAATGGAGGTTCAGAAAGCAAAAGAAGACAGTTGTTTGATTAAGTTTAGATATATAATAAGGGGGAACAGTTACTACAAAGGATAATCCTCCTTTCTGACTCTTAGAATGATCATATTTTACAAAATGAACATGTTTTATTTATCGTGGCCTGGAAGTAGTTACCAATCACAGAAAGTCATCAGGAAAGTGTTTAATGAGGGTTGCAAAGGACTGTTTTTCCACAGACTTCTCAACAGTCCAAAGTCCATTAAACTCATAGCAACTCCAGAGAAGTCGCCCCCTGCTGGCCATTAAACAGAATGTGAGTTGAAGGCACCTCAGCTGGCTTCACTGTTCAGCCCAGAAAGCGATATCTATGATCCTGCCAGGAAACTAAACAGTAAAAGCTGAAGTTGAAGCTTTTGTCCTGCATATGCATAACAGTCGTTTTTTGTCTCAGTACAGTAAAAACTTGTGTTGTTGTTTTTTTTACCTTACATCACCTGGAAACTGAAGATTTCCCTCTGTGATGTTTCTCTGATCCAGGCTATGGGTCGCTCGGGTCTGGCAGGACCTTCCATGGAGAACCACATGGACATGTCCCACCTGCAGATGCCCAAACACATGTCGGTGCCTCCACAGGAGGAACCTAACGAGCTGGAGGATCTGGAGCAGTTTGCTAAAGCATTCAAACAAAGACGGATCAAACTGGGTTTCACTCAGGTAAATCAGGCCCTATAAAAAGACCTGAAAGACTGTATTCACTCAGTGCATTGACTGTTTTCTCTTTTTATGATGCAAAAAATATAGAGAAAGTTACACAAGACTCTGGGTGTTGCAACATGCTCATGAAAACCAGATGGTAGTTGTGAGGTTTTGGCCTGTGGTGACCACGCTTAATTTATTCAGTTATGCATCAGAGTCCAGATTTTTTTTAAGACCATGTTTACATAATCTTATAATTAGAAATTAGGAGGCTGGAGCCTATCCTAGCCCATAATCCACCAATCATTCCATGATTTAGGTTTACACTGTATCTAGCTTCACCTTTATCTTTAAGTAATTAGCCTATATCTTACAGATTTGTTACTGCTTTTGCTTGGATACTTAATAATAATAATAATAATAATAATAATAATAATAATAATAATAAAAACATATATGGTCACAGTTAAGCAGGTTAAAAAAGAGGGCAAAGAAGGCCACATGTCCACCCTCATGATTTTATAACCACAAGTCATTTGGGAGGGATTCAAGTTCATGTAGATAAACGATAATCAGTTCCAGAAGAGTAAAACCAGACTCTGGCACCACTAAGTGTTTATTCAATATTGCTGGTTTGCTTCAAGGGAATTTCCATAAACCTTGCATGAGAAAATAGAGGGGCGGATGGATCGTTTCTGACAGAGTATTTACAAATTCGCCAGTACACCAGGTCTTGCATAACCCCCTGCAAGTCCTATACAGTTTTATTTATTTATTTTTTATTTAAAAGCTACAACTAATAATTCAGCCAATTCCTCTTTATAGCCTAGTGTTACCTGTTAAATCTCATTAATTGATTTTATAGCCTTATAAAAACAGTTTAAAGAACTTTAAAGAAAAAAGCTACAGATCCAAATGTAATGACCATTTTTCACAGTTTCTAAACCTAACCAAGTAGTTTTTAGTACAAAAATTTAATGACGAAGTTCATAGTGCATAAGTCCAACTAAGAAGTTGTATCCGAATAGTGATGAAACTTATTTAGCAAAGGACAGCGCAAGTGAGAAAGAGATAGAAAAAAATAAGTTAAACAGAGTGCAAAACTCAAAGTCATTAGGGAGGGATTTTAATTTGTTGCAGTGAGCCATGATCAGTTGTGTAGGAGAAAAACTAGTACTTGGCAGTCCTGAGTCTTCTTTTGGTTTGTTTTTTGAGAATCTCAAATAGTGCAGAAACCTTCCATGGAAGAATAGTTTGGCAAAGGGATCGTTTCTGCATTGCAGGCCTTGGTTGATCCCTAAATGTAAACAGTTGTAATTAGTAGATAAAGCTATCTAGCAAGTTCCCATGAAAGTCAAAAAAGATGGAAGTTGGGGAAAAAATAAGCAAAACCAATTGTAGGTTGAAATCAAACACAAACGGTGGTCTCATGGCTTAAAAACCACGATTTGCTGATTGAATTGCTTTTGCATGAGAGATCCATCAATGTTTTGTGTTCTGTTGTGTTTGTACTCACAGGGAGATGTTGGCCTTGCAATGGGAAAACTCTACGGGAATGACTTCAGCCAGACCACAATCTCTCGATTTGAGGCCCTGAACCTGAGCTTCAAAAACATGTGCAAACTCAAACCTCTGCTGGAGAAATGGCTGAGCGATGCCGGTACGCAGCAACTCTTATTATGTTTCCTATACTACCATTAAAATTGTAACAAACTATTCTTCCTCATCACAACAAGTTCATATAGTACAGCCACTGCTGATCACAGAAAATCAGGATCTGAAAATCTGCACAGTAAAACAATGTTTAACTGTTAATTATAACTGTTAATCCACCCGTACGTGCAAGCTTTTTAATCAAGACGATATTTGTAATGCTAAAATATAATTATTGCTTTGATTCATGAATCTACTGTTTTAAAAAACAGAAAAATAGTAAATCACAATTCTATTTTTATTTTTATTAAGATGCTAAACTACACTTATTTACCTTCTTCCTTCGTGAATAGAATCATTAGTTTTAGTGGTTGAATGTTATGCTTGATTAATTCGTGACTTCTTAGTGACATCCTCAAATTTGGGTGTGAGTAACATGTAACGTGAGTTTTTTGCCTGTATAAATAGCAATATAATTTTTAGTTTTTAACACATTTTAGTTAGATTTCTAAAATGTGTGTTTTCTAAATCTAAATAAATTGAGCAGTATATTTTTGAGCAATAAATAAATTGTAAAAAATGCAGGATGCTGCATGGAGCAAATGTGGCAAATTAAACTCATGTAAGCAAATTAATGTTTTTGTTTTTTTTTAATTATCAGAAGATTCAATAAATATTCAATTTTCTGGCTATCATTTCGCAGTCCAGGCTTTACAGGGTGAAGCACTATTTTATTTTTGCTATTTATACCTGAATTGGCCCTAATAAAATATGAAACGCCTGATCAGTCATTACATGAGCTAACATGCAGACATAAGAAGTCTGGATTTAACACTAAGGAATGCAGATATGACTGATGTTGTTAATCACACCCGTGGATTTACAAAAATGTCTGCTACAACTAAACCCATCAGATATCATCTTCTCAGAAATGTTGAATATGTAAAATACTAACACTGGGACACAAAATATGTTATAAAATCTAAGAATCTCATTTTTTACATCAGAGAACTCACCTTCTGACTCGATGAGCAATTCCAGCTCTCTGCCGGCCCTGATGGAGGGCTACGGGCGCAAACGGAAAAAGAGGACGAGCATTGAAACCAACATCAAAATGACTCTGGAGAAACGTTTCCTGGATGTAAGACTCATTCATTACTTGTCTTGTTTTCATGGTGAGCATGGTGAAATCCTTTATAACTGAATAAGCGTTACACGTTAATGAATAAAACCTGGAAAAATCTGTCCTGTAGAAGGAGATATCTAAAACTTGGGTTAGTAAAACACAGTATGATGCAAACAAACAACATTGTTATAAGCTCTCCTCTGTTAGAGGACTTGTATTGTGGGAGGGAAGGTAAGAAAAGAGGTACATCGGGAATGTTAAGATGGTGGATGACTGTAGACATGAGCTGGCTGAATCCATGAACACAAAGAAATTAATAGGATAGTCCTGACAGTTGGCCTTCAGCCTCCACTCTTTGTTCCCTCTGCTGCCGTGCAGGCGTTCTAGTTTATGCAAATGTCCAACTACCATTGGCTGCAGTTTTGAGATGGGCCTCTCAGTCAAGAACATCCCCCGTGTGGACCTAACTGTCATCTGCTTTTATATTTGATTTTTATTTACAATTTTATTTTAATTTGATTGAGTTTTAGAATCTTTTTAGTGACGACCAAGTAATTTTCTTTTATCATTGCTTAATACGGTGCTCATTCAATAACCTTGGACACTCATTGTTTGTCAGGCAGATATCAACGTTATGCACCTCCTGTGCAAAATTACAAGGTCAAAATCGTGCATATTTTTGAATTTCAGAACCCTAAGCCCAACTCTGAGGAGATAACCCTGATCTCAGAGCAGCTGTCCATGGAGAAGGAGGTGGTTCGAGTTTGGTTCTGTAACCGTCGCCAGAAGGAGAAGAGGATCTACTGCCCGACATCAACTCTACCTGTCAAGTCTCACACCTACAACTCCAGGATGGTTAGCCACCTGATATATGCTTTCTTTGACTTAGGTGGCAGAGCACTCTTATGTCTGCAGAGAGGAAATGTTTAATTATCTTCAATTATAAAAGTCCAAGTATAGTGTGTAAGTTGTTAGCCACGTAAAGTAAACAGGTCTTAAGTTGGACTTTTCTTTGAGCCAAGCACTTTAAACACCTCCCAAGAGGATTGGTAGATATATTAGAGGGTTACCTATAACCTGCTCTTTGTAATGCCAGTATGTTTAACCATCCTAACATCCATTTTATTGTTTCAGGCCTCTGCATCCAGGTCCTACAGCCCTCTGGCTTCAGGTGGAGGCAAGTCCCATCCAGCTTCAATAATGTGCCTTTCACTGTCATGTGTATACAGTAATCATCTGTATATGCGTACATGTTAAATAATATTTTAACCTTGTTTTTACAGTTTCTTCAAGTTCATCCCCAAATAGTATGAGCCGTGAGGCATCTCCCAACGGTCTGTCTGCAGCCTCCACCTCTCTAACCTCTCCAGTCAGTGCAGCTTCCTACAGCACGTCAGGGTAAGAAAGAGTCACACAGACATCCCGTTTTTCTGTAAAAGATATTTTTTCCTTCACTCCAGCATCAATATTAGTTTTAGGATGTCAGTTCAGGACGTTGTTACCATGGAGAGAGTGTTTCACAAGCCGTTATTAATAACTGGCTGCTTCACATCTACTCCAAAAACAATGGAAACTGTTTGTTTAACTTTTCCTCAGAAACTGAAAAAATAATTAATTTGCTTAGATATCCAATCCGTCAGCACTTAAATAACGTCTGTCATTTGAAATTTAAATGAGCAGTTTGTAATTTTATTGGCACAAGTTAAATGAGGAGAGTGATGCCACTTCCAATAAAAATAAAACTAAAGCCAATAAGCAGTTAGCTCAGACAAAAAGGGTATTTGAGATGGATTATGTGCAGGAGTTTAACAGATATGAAAAAGTGGCATTGTTGTTTTTGTTTAAGACTTTTCAGCACTCTTTTGCAACACACACAGACGTATTGTCAAAACTCTGATTATTACGCAAGCCTAGGAAGTATTTCCTCATAAATCGGCTGTGTGCCAGGCAGGATATGGACACACCATGAAAGATTCGGGGATGGAACATAAACTGAAGAACTGCTTTAATGCTGAAGTCTTACAAAAATAAAAAGAAACAATGGCAGAGCAGACAGCCGAGAGAGAGGACGCAACAAAGGGAAATAGGAACACTGAAGTTATAAACACACACGAGGTGACAAGGGGAGTGGATACACACATGACAGCTGAACCTAATTGAGAAAACAAGACAAGGGAAGTAAAATCTAAAACAAGACACTGAGATTCAAGGAATAAAACACAAGCCAAACTGAAGTCATGATGAAAAGCAAAACCTCAGAATATAAATGTAAAGGAACAAACCAGGAAACACTGTAATAAGTGAAATACAAAACTCAAAACAAATAACTCACAAGGAAGAGTCGGAGACCATGACAGTTTCCTTGTTTGTGTATTAATTTATTCAGTTTATTCTTCAGATGATTTGCTTGTGGAGCTTGATTTTCTGTATCTATATATCTATGTGGAAAAACACTGCGCTTGTAGGTTTTCCCCTTGACTGATGAGCTATTAAGATGAGTTCAGGTTTAAAAATAGGTCCAAAAATGAAGGACAACATATGTATATTTAGAATAGCATGGCTTTCTTTCATTAGTTCTGCTCTTTTTTACATATACAGATTTAAATGCCAATATTAAAAATAAAACTGTGGACCTTTTTTTTAAAAATTTATCAGAATTGTTTCCTGTACTTTTTAAAGACATTTGCCTAAGAGCTTGCGATCTTCCCTCTGGTCTTTCAGGTCATGGTACCGCACATGGAACCATCCCACATATCACCATTGAAAAACTGTATGACATGAAGTTTTTGAAGGTAGTTTTCTTCTAGAAGGATGCATGGAGTCACTCATTGTCCCGTAACACACATGGTTACAGCTACAGGTGAAAGCTCACACGGACACATGAGACAAAGAAGCGGGAGCAGCACAAGCAGAGGACTGCGTGCCACCACTCTTCTGTCAACACTCACTTCATTGCTCATGCAAGTCCCAACAGCCTTCAGCTGTTTGATTTGTGTTCAAGTGACTCTTTATTCAGTTGCAAATATGAAGAACACACACACAAATCACACACACACAAATATCCTAAACAATGGAGGGAAACGTCCTGTCTGAGCCTGTAACTGCCACCACTTAAAATAATTTATATTGCGCATCAGCCTGTTTATAATGCCATCTTTCTCCTCTCATCTGTTGTTTTTTTAATGTTTATATTGTATTTAGTGTTGATTTCAGGGTGTTTTTAGGGATTTTACAGGTTTCATGTATGTTTGTTAGTGCTGCAACTTACTACTTTTATTCAACACTGTACTCTCGCTGTACCTGAATAAGATCTGGACATGTCACATGAAACGACTTTATTTCAGTTAAAAAACACGTATTAAAACAAACAGAAATGCCATGCCCTGTGTCAAGCTCATTACAGATGAAACTTTGAACCATAATTTGAATTTCATCGTGCCATCTGGCTCTTATCAAAGCTCTGAATGGGCTATTTGCACGGTTCGTTAACAAATCACATATGTGTTAGACACTTTTATGGATATTGAGTTTTATGGCAGATGTGGAGGTTTCTTCAAACCGTTTAGACCCTTTGCGGGCAACTCAGTGAATCCTAGCAGTTACATTACCTACATCCTGAAATAATAACTGATGGGGATTTTTTGTGCCATTTAACACTCAAGTTTTCCAGAGAAAGTTGTAAAATATAAAATATCACCAGACCTTTTTTTTTGTTTTGTTTTTAGTTTGGAAGTGGAGCACTTAAGCAAGTGTTGACAGAGTTTCTCTTTATTTTGTAGCTCGTAGCTTGCTCTGTCCTCAGTTCACTTGTGTTTGCCTCTCTGCAGTTTCTGTTTTGAGTGTCCATTGTATATTTTTTGTCCGGGGTTAAAGTTTTGCAGTGGGACCAAACTCCAACTTCAGCCATAAAATGAAAACAGCCACTATATTTACTGTATGTTATGTAACGTTACAGCAGAGTCATGTTTTTACTGATGTAACTGAAGCTACCACTGTAAAGGTGAAAATGGAAACAGTGACGTGTGATCCTCTGAGTCTCAGAGAATCGTTTGTATTTACCTCATACTGAATGTTTATTAACATTTATTTACTTTCTTTCAATAAAAAGAGGTTGAACTTCTGTGTTGTTGGGGTATTTTTGTCATGACTGACAGTGTTTCATACCCAGCATTGGCAGTGTGTTCAGGATCGTTGTCATGCTGAAAAATGAAGTTGCTGCCAATCAAATGTTTTCCATATGGTATTACATGGTGGGGGGATCCAAATCTGATTTCATAATCCCATCAATTTTGACAAGATCTCCAATAGCACTGGCAAAGATGTTGCCCAACACTATGGCAGAGCCTCCACCATGTTTCACACTCACTGTGTCTCGACCTCCTCCACACACACTGATGAAGAATTGAACCAAAAGTTTAAAATTTGTAATCATCCTTCCATCAGACAGGTTGCCACTGAGCCCATTTCTGATGAGGCTTCAGTGAAAAGTTGATAGATTAACTGATAAGTGAAAAGTAGACAGTGTCCAAAGAAACACTTTCAAGGATACTTTAGAAATGACATGTCTAGTTTCTTGAACACAAAATATAAAGTGGTGAGGGGTGACTCAAGACTTTTGAACAGTTTATTTTTATAATTAATTACCAAAAAACAAATTCAAATTTCACATTTTTTGAGATGCACTGAATTTTAATTTATTCTCTCCAAGGCAGGAGGTAAATATGCACTCACACAAAGAAATAAATAACATATTATTAAAATCACCCACATCCACTGCACAGTAATATCTTTAGTTAGACCATATCTCAGTCTAATATCTTATACTCAAGTTTCCCCAAGTCTCAGAGTGTGCATAAACAACTGACGTGTTCAATTCCATGAAATCTTACTGTAACCCACATCTGAACCTCCCAATTAAACACCAAATGCAAACATCCAAAAACCGGAAAATTTCCAGTTTGAGCTCCGGCTTAAATATCGCATAATTTGCACAGATTGTTAAAAATCTCAGATTTCCAGTTTTGCCTCAGGGCATCAGGCATCGTCATCTCAGCTGCAGCTTTTATGTTCCTGTCATTCACCACCCTCATATATCCCCATGAGTAAGGAAATCCTATAAAATCAAATATTTATTTTTAACTGGCAGTGAATGAGGCACATCCATTGTGGTTTAAAAACACTTTCATGGTATTGATTCTTTAACTCTGTAATGTCAAGTTATTCATATTTGATACATGGCTTTTACATCAGTGTGACTTTTTTTCACCTGAAAAGCCTGACGTATACAATCAGACACATGCATACTGTAAGCAATATATTACACAGAAATGCCAGATGTAGCAAAATCATGTGCAAATTTCTTTTTTTATTTGTCAGGAGGCTTAATAAACATTCAAGTTTCAAAAAAGTTTGCATTTCTGGCGGTTTAGGCTTTACAGTGTTAAGAAACAATATTTAAAAAAAATAATTTTTCTGTTTGCTGTTCAATAATCTACACTAGAAACCAATCGTCTCTTTTAGTTTGAATCTACCACATACAGCAGTAGAACTGACAGCATTTTTATTCAACTTAAAAAAATCTTCCTTCAAAAAGTTAACATGAAAAGCTTCAGGGAAGTAGCTTCGTGACCCCATGCCTCATGCAAGACTGGTAAAACCATCTGATCCAACAGTCTCTAGCTTTAGTTAACTACAAGTAAACTACTTTGTAGTTAATTTCTTGGTAATTTTGTGGAAAAACAATCAAAAATTCCCCAGCTTTCATCATAAGTACGTCGTACTATGGGCCGTAGATTGACATGACCTTGCCTAACTTTCAAGAAAATAAAGGAGACACAAATTATATTATATTATTATATTACTTACTTAGCTACTTAAAATTACATAAAATTGTATTTGTAGGTAAGTCATTTTTAATTTTCTGGAAGCTCTGGAAGGTTAAACCAGCTCATAATATGACCAAAACACTGAAAAGTACAACGTATTTGCAATGTAACATACGGAAATATTGTTTGTTTTTCTGCAAAATTATCAAGAAAAATGTTAAACAGTACTTAAAATTACTTATTCACAACTTAAATTTTATTACAGTGTACTTATGCCTGTAGTATTTAAAATTATTTACAGTATCACTTCTCTCCTTTCACACCACTGATTGTACTGACTACACACGTGGCATGTTACACGAACCCTGTTAGTCACGGCCACATTATAAAGTGTTAGCCAATTTCCAAATTTGAAATCACAAAACTTTCTTACTTAGTTCCTTACACTTAGTTTTCAGTTACACGGTGACTTTCTACTGCATGTAAAACCCTCTGAAGCAGTTTCTGACTCAGGCAGTGTTCCAGCTTGTTTGCCTAAAATGCCATTGAAAGGGCACAAACACCAAGGAGACAAAAAAAAAGACCCAATAAGAAAAAAAACAGTGTAAACCATTTAATGCTAAAAGAACATTAAAAACAAGTAAGAATGAGTGGATTAGTCCTCAAAAAGACATTTGTCTCCTTATAGAAGCATACTGTCGTACAGTTAGAAGGCTTCAATCATCAGCTCAGCAGAAGATTGTCCAAGTTGGAGGTTAAAAAAAAAAGAGTTAGTTGGTTGTACGGTGAGGTCAGTTTCATCATTGTTTCCTCCCTTTGTGTGTTTTGGTTTTCACTTTGATTTCAGAGCTCATTGAACCTGCAATAAAAAGTCACAGTTAGTTTAGAGGATGACAAAATTCCTGCAGGTAGAGGCTGATCAGAAAAACCGATACTATAATCATATGCTACACTGTTAGCTTAGCAGCAAACAACAGAGATGCACTGATTTCAGATTATTTCATTTCATTCTGTGAGTATATTCTGAAGAATAAATGACTCATGTTTATAATAAAACACCTAATCTGGATTACTGTGCAGATGTGTTCAGGTTTACAGAGGAAAACAAATTACTTCAGGGTTGGATTAAACTAGCACAATATAACTAATTCCTGTGCTTTACTTTTTCTCAAAAGTGTATTTTGTTGCCTCAGGGAAGAGCCAGGATAGTGGCTTCCACCTGCTTCCAGTTATTATATTAACGATCCTAATACATTTCCCCAGCTCCCTTTTTAATGCACAGGCATCCTTCTTTTCATGCAACCTCTAGAGAAACTGAGGCTTTTTTGTAAAAAGCCTTCCTATTGTGTTCCATCTTTACCGGCTGTGTTAAACATATTTAAACATCAGTCTTTTCTGTATTGGCTTACTTAATCTCTAGGGTTCCCCGAAATGAATGTAAACAAAGAAGGTAAAGGTCGAAAAAAGAGACAGTGGCGTTGACGATGATACTCACCCTCTGGCTCTGGGTCCACACCCACACCATCTCTGAGCTTCCTTGTAAACAAGCCTGGACAAAAACTGGAGCCAAACAAAAGAAGTGTCAGTTGGGGGTTTGAGTGGTTCTCATAAGTTCTCTGGCATACTCACAAACCACAATATTTAAAAATCATTAGGAATAAAAAAGGATCCATGTGGAGCTTAGTGAAATAAAGGTCCACAGGACAGCATTGGCAAACTATTGTTTGCTCCTTTTCTCAACATAAATCAAGTGAATTGAGGTTAGCTTCGCGTCGGCAACGTCTCGACTTAGGCACCGATATTCTGCATTGCACCAGTAACATACCAGTAATGTTACACAAAGACTCGTCATGTAACTTACATTGCCAATAATGGACTATTATGACATGAGACTGGTACCATGTTTGTGGTAAATATAACCGACTCTGCAGAATTGTATGTTCAGATGTTTCACAGACTCAGCTGGCTCCTTTATTCAAGACGCCAGTTTCACCGGTGCCAATTTATTTTTAAAGTAAACTATATAGATATACTATATAAGAAGTTCTGAGCAGTTTTTCTTTAATGTCCATTTTGTACCAAAGAAAGCTGTTAAAAAAACCTTCCAACTGCAATAAGTTACCATGCTTTGTTTTGCTACCTCACACCAGTCTGCTTATGTTTTCAATGTGAACACTGTACTGCACGTTATTTCTTTGTTAAATGAATGAATTACTAAATTTGTTTGTAAGGTTGTAATTTTGTTTGTTTGGTAACTTTAGCTGTCAATTTTGTTGTCTTTGTTGTGTTACACTCACCCACTTTAGTAGGCACACATTGGTAACAACCACGTTTATGTTTGTGATGCTCGAGTTGCTGCTGTGTGATTGGCTCATTAGATATTTGCCTTAATAAGCAGCTGAACAGGTGTACCTAACAAAGTGGCCAGTGAGTGTACAATGTTTAATATTGTTTTCTCGTATACATTTGTATCAGCGGTTTTATGCTGACACAATAATAAATTTAGGATGAACCACCACAACAATCCTTAAATTAACTGGTTGGCATTTGCATTAAAAAGGAACAAGTTTATTCTATGTGAGTGAACAGATAAAGATTGCTCTCTGACCAGGCAGGCTAAGACGTCAGCAGAGATGAGCATGTAGAAGACATTGTTCCAGCCAGTTGGTGAGATCACACCGGCCAGCAGAGGACCCAGTGCAGCTCCTGCAGAGAGCATAAAAATAAGTCATTAAGTGTAAACGCATAAAGTCGTCAAGAATTATTCAGACTTAAATGAAAAAGTCAGGAGGAAAAACACAAAATGGAAAAATAGCCATTTCCTTTTAAATCACACATTAAGTACTCAATTTTCTAGTCTCTCAGGACTTCATCAGTTTCCATCTTCTTTTTTACAGTTACACAAACTGCTGTCCTGAGTACAAAAGACAAAATAACTGTTTATGTTCTATCTACGCTTTTAATTTTAATTTAAACCATGAGACAAATGTGGACAGAAATGCAAGGATGCATTAATTATATTAGAACTAATAGTCTCCGTGTTTTATAAAGAGTATGATATGAATACTAGTACATGACCACGCTACAGGACTGTTTAGTCTTTTGTTATGTGGTTGCTAGGCAACATGATGACGCATCAAGCCTAATTAAAGTTTTATGGATATACATTATAGATGTCATTTTTGTGAAATTACAGATCATACAGTGCTTTTATATGGTGCCATAGGTAAACTATGAGTAAAGTCCAATGTCTACCT